TTTGTGAAATTTGAATCTGCTTTTCCTCAAGGTTAAGCATAAAACACCAAGCTCTGCTGTTCAGAGGGGCTGGGAGAACTGCCCGAACACCCAGCCCCAACTTGGTAAATCCTTGCTTGTGCTTAGGGCTGGCAGGGTGCTAGGAGAACCAGAGGCTCAGGCTTAGGCTTCCCAAGGTGCCCTCCTGGCTCCGTTCCTTTCTACCTGCGGGGGTGGGGGTAGGTCGAAGAATCCCTGTATGCCAAAGCTCTGGATTCTCATCACAGAAACATCAGTAATTCAGCAGTTGTTTATTCTGGCCCTTGTGGCCCAAGTGGTCAAAAAAGAATGGGAGTATGCATATCTGTGTGCAGGGTGCAAGAGCCTAAGGCCCACAGGGACAGGAAGGTCTTAGGCAGGAGAGCTGGGTCTTGTGCCCTGTTGGTTACTGCCTCTGAGTGTTTTGGAGTGAGGCAAGGACTTGAGCCACTAGGCCTCTGTCCCTGTGATGCAGGCTAGGCCCAGTTCCGGAAGGGTTGATTTCCACTGCTCCAGGGCCTAGGAGGGAGGGGAGGGCTCGGCTTCCTGCTGCTTATCATCTGAGGGCCTTGGGGGGTACTGGGCTGGAGGGTCCTGGGGTTCCAGGGTCTCTGTGTCATTGGGGTGCTCCACCCTCTCGAACAAGATGAGCATCTCACAATGTGGGGTCTGCGGGAACAGGTCCACAGCCACAGCCTTGACTGGCCTGAAGGGGGTGCCCTTCACCCTATTAGACGGGGATCTGCAGAGGCTGTGGTGGGAAGGGAGTAGTCAAGGTCAGCCACATGGCTGGGGCTCCTCTGGGGGGGGGGGTATGGGGCTGGGTACTGGCCCCATTCCACCCCAAGCCCCCACCTCACACTCACTCTACAAAGTTGCCCATGGCCGCCCGGGGATTGCAGGAGACGTATAGGAGCCGCTTGAGGTTCTCAGCTCTGCGGATGGCCAGGATCACTTTGGAATCTGAGGAAGTAGAATTCTCAAGGGAGAGTCCCCACCTCAAAGAGGGGATGGGGGCCCAGTGGATCTGGATATCAGGCCTAAGGCTGCACAGCCTAGTGTGCCACCCAGAGGTCACTACCCTCCGTTCCCTGTACCACCCCTGAATGAAAGCTACTCACGCAGGCCGGCACGAGGTGGATCCAGGATGGCAACAAGCTGCTGGGAGGCCAGTTTGCTCACCAGGGCAGGCACCAGGTCCTCAGCCCTCCCACAGTGGAACTCAACATTGTTCAACTCTACAGATGGCACAGCAACCCTGTTGTGACTCAGGGAGCCCTGCCACCCAGGGCCTGCTGAGCTGCCTGGTATCCTGAATCCCCTGACCAGAGGTGCCTTAGGAGAACTCACTGGCCAGGGAGCTTCCTTGCCCTTTCTTCCCCATCAGGCAGCCCCAGGCATCGGGGGTGTACAGTAGGGGCCCTGTTGTGCCTTCTGCAGTTCCTCCCCACTGCTTCCCATCCTAGAAGCCATGTGGTGGGTTCCAGGTGCTATGTTGAGGTGTATGGCAGGGGGGGACTGCCTGCTGTGTGGTGCATTGGCGCTCACCATTGTTGTGGGCATTCACCCGGGCATCCTCCACAGCCTCCTGGCAAAGCTCAATCCCCACAACTCTCTTCACATTCTGAATCAAGAAAAGGGGACAGGCTGATGGTACCCTGCACCACCCCAGGGGCTACTTGGGGAGGGGAGTAGCAGAACGCATTGTGGGAAGTAGAACCAGATCTAGGACAGGCTGGGGGTCATGGGGGTCGTGAAGTGGTGACAGCACAAGGGTGGGGTAGGGAGAGGGCTTCCTCAGCTAGTGGGCAGGAAAGCTTACCCGGGCCAGGGCCAGGCCAATGGTGCCAGTGCCACAGCATACATCTAGCACTGTGCTCCCTGCATCCAGCTGGGCCCATTCCTGGATGACTGTGTAAAGCACCTCAGCAGCTGGGGTGTTCACCTGGAGGGTGAACCCAGGATGTCAAAGCAGCCCCCCTGCCCAAGTCAGCCTCCCTTCCTGCAGCCACACCAAATGTCTGCATTCCTTGGGGTCCTCCTGCTCTAAGACCTGTGGCTCAGTCCCTGGCTCACTCATCCTCTTTCTAGGTCTCCTGATCCCACCTCTTCCCCACCTCTAACTGCCTAAGCACCCCAGGGCTAGTCTTCCAACTGCCCTGCCCCTCCATCCACAAGATGCTGGGCAACCTCACCTGGGGCCCTAGCTCTAAAAGCAATTTGATGCTGACCTCCCCACTCTCAGCCTATGAACTTCTGAGTGCTAGATGTGTGGGAGCCCCCACAGCAACATCAAACATGGAAGACTTCACCAGAACTGACACCAGAGCCCTGATGTCACCCCAACTCCCACTGCCCACACATGGCTCTCCAGCAAAGTTATCACAAAGGTCTACTTAGTGTAATTTCCTACTTCCCAGCCCTTGCTGCTCCCCACCTGGATGCTCTCCCCCAGACTTCTGCAGGCTAACACGTCACCTACCCTAGCCCACTGTCTCAATTATCTCCTGGTATCACATCAGGCCTCCCGTTGTGTGTTATGATCCCCAGGGGACTCTGGGCTACCTGGAAGAAGGCATGAGGGGAAATCTGGAAGGTCAACCCCAGCAGGTCTTCATGGATGTACTGGTCCCCAGCCACGTGCTCCAGGGGCAGGCCCTCTTGGCTGGGAGTCTTTCTGTGGGTGGTGGGGCCAGTCAGTGTCACTAGCTCTAGAAAGGACTCACCCCACCCTCTCATCCAGGCTCCTCACCGCTGTCCCTCCTTCACAAAGTAGAGGCAAGTCACCCCGCTGGCCTTGCCCGGCCCCACTGTGAAGTGCTGTGCTAAGGAGGCCTTCAGCCCTGCCAGCTCCTCAGGGCTCAGTTTCTGGAGACAGTAGAAAATGCCCTGTAAGGCTGTATTGCATGAAATCCACTCTGGCTGGGACACCTTTCCCCAGTAGGGCCACCCAGCCTGAGACCTGAGGGTGGAAGTAGGCAATCGCCATGGCTTGGCCACGGCGGCTGGTGCGCACGGTCAGCTGCTTCCAGTGGCCTGAGTATGTCTCTGGGTCGTATGCTGAGTATGGAGTAGACCTGTGGAAGTCATAAGCAGCCCTGAGTCCCAAACATCTACTGAACAGAACTGGGCAAGCAGCTTCCCTGCTCTCTCCTTCAGTCACACCCACCAGGCCAATCATAGGATACCCCCTTGCCGCCACCCCACCCCTTTTCCCCAACAAGACCCAGGCTCTCTGCTACTAGACCACCTTAGAACATCCCGGAGCCCTCAGCCCAGCCGCAAGTCTCACCGGATAAACTCCTGAAAGGCCTTCACCACCTGCTTGGTGGCCTCAGGGATGTGCACAGTGTCAAAGGGGGCTGCCACAGCACATGTTCCACCCTTGTACTTTCCTAGCCGGCAGCCGACAGTGTTGTCCTCCCCGTCCACCCCGACGCCCACCAGAAACTCACACTTGTTTCGATACTCTGTCTGTAGGGTGAGTGGAGGGAGGCAGAGAGACACAGCTGACCTTACCCTGGAAGCCCACCACTTGTGCATGGAGGGAACCGCAGTGAGTGAGTGGGAGATGGCAATGTGTGAGAGGCCCCAGCTCCCCCTCAGGGTGTGGCAATCCAGGGAACAAGGCTGACAACAACTAGCAGTCTCATGACCAACATGAGTAGTAAATGCAAAGCAGGAGGAGGAATGGGTGAGGACAGCTTTAAGAGCACGGTGTAAAGGTTTGTGGGCCTGACCTGCTGGGGTGATGGTCTGACCCCCTCCAGCGGGCAGCAGGCTTTGTTGTACTTGTGCCTCTGTGAGAGCAGCCAGGGCAGCAGGGCACGGTTGGTGCTCCCAATTTCCCTGCAGAGTGAGGAGGGACCAGGGTTAGACTCAGCCCACTGCCTCCAACCCATCTCCAACTACTCTCCAAATGCCCAGGCACCTGGGCTCCTCTCTTTGGACCTCATTCTTTCCACTGGTAACACAGGGGTCTTACCGGCTAGCTCCCCAAGAGCCTGTGCAGATGCCAAGGGGGTCTGTACAGAGCACAGATAGGGATGAGCAAGCATGGAGCTGAACGGAACTCTGGTGTCAAGGGGGTGACTATGTCCACACTCACTTGGCAAGCTTCTGCAGCACCTGTTCACACTCCAGCCGCTTCCGATCAAGCTGCTCATCATAGGGCACAGTCCAAAGAGGGGTCACTACGTCAGCCACACATGTGGCCGACGGCTCACCCTCATCTTCACGCTGCCTCTTCCTGGCCATGGGATCAGCCTTGGGCCTGGCCAGGCGCACGCTGAGAGGGCGGCCCTTCCAGAGGGCACCGTGCAGCACACGCAAGGCCTTGTCCCGCTCAGCGGCGCAGCGGAAGGTCACAAAAGCGCAAGGAGGTTGGCCGAAGAGTTTGGTCTTGTGGGGCTGCAGGCCAAAGCGGCCCAGAAAGCGTCGGACATCGCTGAAGCTGGCGTGGCGTGGCACGTTTTGCAGCTCCAATTTGAAGATCTCCGAAGTGAACAAGTCGTCCCTGATGTAGCTGTAGAGCCCAGGCTGAGGACCTGACTTTGCAGCGGTCCCAGCCCCTTCTTCCTCCTCCTTCTTGTCGGTGGCTGGGGCTGCAGAGATGCCCAGGGCACTGCTGCTGTCCTGGCCGCAGCCCTCCATTGCCCCGGGACCCTGTGTGGAGTCAGGCAGGGACTGGGATGAGGGGTGAACTCTGGGTCCTGAACGCCCAGGCTTCCTCGCCTCACACCCAGGCCTCCATTAGTGCATCCTACACCCAGCCGCACCCCCGTTCTATCATGCTCCCCCTCCATTTCCTTCCTCTCCCATTTCACACCCCCATCCCCAGGGGTTTCCCACCGCGCCCCCATCTCCATCTCCTTCCATGAAGTCCGCCGTCGCCGCCCCGCGTCTCTCTCCGGGATCTCCCTTCACTTTGCTTCGTTGTCGAGCTTGTCATTCATTGTTCTATCCGTCCGGTTGCCTGGATTGAGGACCCCACGAGGGCCGCCTCTACCGTCTCACCCTGGGCCTGGCGCACTGGAGGCTCTCAGAGTGCGGGTTTGGCACCCTGAGGCCGCCCCCACGGCTCCGACCCGGGGGCGGGACTCGAACCGTCGGTGCTCAGGTCCCAGTCTCGGGCATGGGGTGCACCGCACGCCGGCCAGGGGCTCGCGCCACCACCGCTCGCCTCGCCGGCCACTGTCCAGTCGGCTAGCGCATGCAGACGAGGCGGTGCCTCTCTATCACCCTGGCTTCCGGCTACGTCATCGCCGCGCGCCTGCACCGACGCCAGCGTCTGGCTTCCGCTTTCTGGAGCCCGAGGATGGCGCGCGGCCGAGGGGCGGAAGTGCGCGCGAGGGCCGTCGGGAACGCACGCTACCTTGGCCGCCGGGAGGGCCGGGCATGCGCCGCGGGCGTTTTGGCGGGAAGCACGGGGCGGGCCGGACAATGAGAGTGTCCGTCGCCTGAGCCAATAAAGCTGTACTGGTTTTGAATCGCGGCGCGTTTCCCGCCGCCGGGGTCAGGGGTCAGGGTTCGGGTCGCTGGGCGGAGGGAAGAGCGGGCGGGCGGGAGGCGCCGGCGCCAGACGCTGAGTGAAGGAG